CATCAAAACAAAAGCCGCAGGCGTCTCGGTGCCTCCAAACGCCGGCGACCGCGAGCAGGAGGCCACGCGGTGGCCCCCGGCACTGGCCACCCCGCCCTCTACAAGTGGGGCCCTGACCATTGACCACAAGAGGGCGTGGGCCCTGGACACGCCACCCCACCCCTGCCAGAGACCTGACACCTGCCAGTCTGCAACTTGGCCCCGGGATATTGACCCCGCAGGGGGAGGGGGCCCCAGACGCTGACCACTCCCACTCCTTGCCAAAACACTAGCCATCCCTGCCCCTTTGCCTGACCACTTGTGGGATGTTTTAGGTCGGGACCAGAAGCTACTAGAGGATTCTTATTAGGGTAGCTAGAGCAGTTCTAGGAGAGAGAGCTTAAGCTGCACCTACCTTCACAATAATCTGAGGGTGGGATGCTGCCGCTGCTTGGGAGGTACTGTGGCCACGCCATGGTGGCCCCGGCCTTGCAGCCGATTGTTAGTGAAGAACAATAGAGGAACAGACGCAATTTAAGTATTAGAGGAGTTCAGTGTGAGGGAAGGATGAGAGGAGCTGGATTTAACCGGGCAGGAAGTTCTGGGGAGGGCTACTTGACACAGGCCCCAGTCAGGAGGCCCTAGGGTCATTTTGTGCGTGTTATTCATTCTGAGTCCACTCTTGTTGGAGGAAATGAAGATTAATGTGTCCCTCTGAACGTGATATTTGCATATCTTGTTTGTCACGTATGCTTCTGTAGTTATGAGTACAAATTCCTAAGGATTCCATCCTCTGAACCATAAGCTGGACACGCTAGACACTGAGAATAGTTTCACTGGATATGCATTCATTTATTTGGGGAATTTTTCCTTTATTTTGTGTGCAGTGCTGAGATAGAGAAATGACAAACAGGCAAAGGCAAGGGCCCAGTGGCTGCTGGCACCCTGGTGGTGGTTGGCATCCTGGGCTCCCACTTTCCAGTGCTGTGCCTGTGCCTGGTGGCAGCTCTGGGCTCTGCTTGGTGGTTGTGCAGCAGTGGGGAAGGAACCCAGGGGAGCTCCAGCCTGGGCAGTACCAGACTGTCTGGAGGAGAAAGCACTGGTACGTGGCACTTGGATGGTCAGAAGGACTCCAGAGAGGGAAGGCGGCTTGCCTGGCCTTCCAGCCATTCAAGTGCTTGGTGAGTATCCACTGTACGCCAGCACAGCTGGGAACGGACAGGCCACTGAGCAGGGTGTGTGGCCATGTTCCAGGAGATGCTTGCAGTAGGCAGCAGCCATTTGCCATGGGGGGGGGCAGAAGAGACACACCAGGCCTGGTTTCCAAAGGGTATGTCTGCTCATGTGGAAGCAGTGAGCCCGCAGTTTTCTGGACACAGGTGCAGGAGAAAGCAGAGTCCTTGAGTGCTTAGAGCCTGGCCAGAGGACCCATAGTGCACAGCACAAAGCAGCCTGCCTGTGAGAAGTGATGGAGCCAAGAGATGGGCGAGACATACAGGGGAATGAGACCTCAGCACCAGGTGTCAACCATGAAACAACAACTATGATAGAGTATGAAGAAAGTTACACTCTTAGTCAAGTGCAGTGGCACATGGCTGTAATTGCAGCAATTCGGGAGGCTGAGAAGGGAGGATCACAAGTTAGAGGCCAGCCTCAGCAACTTAGCAAGGCCCAGTGTGGGGATGTAGCTCACAGCTAAAGCACTCTGGAGTTCCACACTCAGTACCATATTTATTAATTTAACTAAAAGAACAGCTATAACTCCATAATGAAAAGACAAGCCAGTTTTCAAACATACGGAGATTTGCACAACTACTTCAAAAGAGATGATACATGAGCATCCAGTGTATACTCGAGACAATGTAGAATATCATGAATCATGAGGGGAAACACAGCTAATGCAGATTAACCTGTGCCATGATCAACACCCACTGGTGGCTAGAGTTAGACTGGTGCTACTAACACGTGGTTGGTGGAGACAGGAACATAGGAATGGCCTGGTGCCCTGGGGTGCTTTAACACTGGGGCACTTTACCACTGAGCCACATCCACAGCCCTTCTCATTTTCTATTTTCAGACAGGGCCTCACTTATTTGCCCAGACTGGTCTTGAGTTTGCCATCCTCCTGCCTCAGCCTCTCCAGCTGCTGGGATGACGGGCTTTGGCCATTACACTGGGCAACTGAGTGCTTTCTTACATAACATCAAACACACACTCACTGCATGATCCAGCCATCCCACTCATTATTTATCAAGAGAAAAGAAATGGCTGAGAGCTGGGGATGTGGTTCAAGCAGTAGCACGCTCACCTGGCATGTGCGGGGTGCTGGATTCGATCCTCAGCACCACATAAAAATAAATAATAAAGATATGTGTTCACCTAAAAAAAAACCCTAAAAATAAATATTAAAAAAAGAAGAAAGAAATGGCTGAGCCGGTGCAGTGGCACACGCCTATAATCCAGCGGTTTGGAAGGCTGAGACAGGAGGATCGTTGAGTTCAAAGCCAGCCTCAGCAATAGCAGGCGCTAAGCAACTCAGTGAGACCCTGTCTCTAATAAAATACAAAATAGGGCTGGGGATGTGGCTTAAGCGGTAGCGCGCTCGTCTGGCATGTGTGTGGCCCGGGTTCGAGCCTCAGCACCACATACAAACAAAGATGTTGTGTCCGCCAAATACTAAATAATAAATATTAAAAAAAAATTATCTCTCTCTCACTGTCTCTCACTCTCTCTTAAAAAAAATAAAATAAAATACAAAATAGTGCTGGGGATGTGGCTCAGTGCCCCTGAGTTCAATCCCAAGTACCAAAATAATGCTGGACATGGGTTTGTGGCTCAGCAGTAGAGAGCTTGCTTTGCACGCGTGAGGCACTGGGTTCAATCCTCAGCACCACATAAAAATAAATAAATATATTGTGTCCCTAAAAACAGAGTTTAAAAAAAAAAGTGTGCATGGTAACTCATTTCTAACAACCAACTGAAGTGCCCTGGGTGCTGTGGTTGGGTCTTAAGTGCCCCCCAAGGCCCATGTGCTGAAGGCTTGCTACTCAGACGTCCTGGGGCCTTTAGGAGGTGGACTTAGTGTGAGGCCTTGGGGTTGGTCATCGGGGTGTGCCCTTGGGGGGCTGTGGAACCCAGGCTCCTCCTCTCCCTGCCTTCCTTGCTCCCTGGCCACAGGACGAGCAGCTGTGTACAGCCTGTGCGTCCACAATCATGTGGTGTCTTGGGGACAGACTGGAGCCTCGACAACACAAGCCAAAGCAGAACTTAGACCAGTGGGTGTCGCACAGCAGCCTGGGGATGGGGTGCTGGACCACCTCCCAAGGCAACTAGGACTGGTCCTGACATACACACCTCTTTGTGCTGCCCTGCAGGAATTCTGTGGAAAGTGTTTTGAGTTGCCTTAGTGAGATAATAGTAATCTAGAGAAATTTAAAGTGCACATCTTTTGGGCTGGGGATGTGGCTCAAGCGGTAGCGTGCTCGCCTGGCATGTGTGCGGCCTGAGTTCGATCCTCAGCACCACATACAAACAAAGATGTTGTGTCCGCCAAAAACTTAAATAAATATTAAAATTCAAAAAAGTAAAAATAAAGTGCATATCTTTTGACCCAGTAATTCCAGGTCTAGAGATTTATAAGTAAATGAGGCTATGCAACTGTACAGGTGCTTACAAATGCATTGTTTAAAAACAGAAATCAGGGGTGGGGGTACAGCTCAGAGTAGTTACTTGCCCAGTATATGCACGGCCCTGGGCTTGCCCCCAGCATCAAACACACACACATACACAACATACAGAAAATCTACACCTGACTTCAGTGCCCGTCATTTTAGCCAGCTGAATGCTTGATGTACAGCCATGCAGCAGACTATGTCTCTTTTTTTAAAATGAAAGGGGTGGGGCTGGGGATGTGGCTCAAGCGGTAGCGCGCTCGCCTGGCATGCATGCGGCCCGGGTTCGATCCTCAGCACCACATACCAACAAAGATGTTGTGTCTGCCAACTAAAAAATAAATAAAAATATTAAAATGAAAGGGGTGAGAGCTGAGCACAGTGGCATACACCTGCAATCCCAGCTTCTGAGGAAGCCGACGCAGGAGGCAGCCAATTTAGGGCCCGTCTCAGAAAGACATTAAAAATTGGTAAGGGGTTGGGATTGTGGCTCAGTGGTACAGTGCTCGCCTAGCATGCTTGAG